ACTTGGGTTGCTAGGTGACTTTGAAAATGCACTTCAGGATGGTGAGGAAGTTTGTAGTAGGCCATGTATTTACGGAAGCCATTGCTTTTTTCTTGAAAATCAAGTATAATATGAATGTTGACACCTGTTGGGTGTGGTGTTGGAAAATGTTATTTCCTCATTCTTTTGACAGTCATTTCCATGCTTACCAAGTGACAGTTGATAAAAACGTTGGTTCTTTTCAATCCAGGAAATTGGTTAGACTGTCAAGATCCAGAACAGAGTATATGTTTCATTGTTATATTCTGTGTAAACATATTTTTGTGATTGTTTTTTTTATATTTTTGATATGAATATACTTTACATGTATGTGATAAAATTATTTTTTGTAATTTTTTAATTTAAATAAAAAGGCTAAGGCAATTATTGTGAACAATAAAGGTGTTGGGATCTGGAGCTGTACCACCTTCCTCCAGCAGAGTGCGCTGTGGGTCCTCCTGAGCTGAGCCTCCAACACACCTGTGGCGCATTTCATCATCAAAGGATCCTCCTGTATATAACCTGCCTTCAGACCTTGCCTCAACGCCGCAGTGTTGACCTAGTTTGGTTAGCAACCTGAGCCTAGTAAACCTGAGAATCTTTGCTATCTCTATTTGAGATAAGATTCTAACTCTTCCTTGTTTTTGCCTCACAGGAATCCTGTCTCTTCGTGAAGCTCTGGATGAGCTTAACCTGCCGAGCCTGCCCTCATGAGCCAAACCTGAAGACTCTTCTCTGGATTCCCCTGCAGCTCTTGGTTAAGAGCTGGAAACCCAAATCAAGGACTGCCCTCAAAGTCAGAATTAAGACGCTGAAGCAGTTATTGGACTCTGCTGAACAAACAGTCTCTGGATCCAACAGTAACCTCTCTCAAAGAGAAACCCGGACTCCTTCAAGGTATTCTTCAGCAAACTCAAAGTCTCATAACTCATCAGTCCCTGCGCTAACTGAGCTATCATCCCTGCAGACTCCAGTGAACCTGCCCCCAGGCCTGAACCAGTTCCTGTTGCAATATTCATGTGCTTGTATAACAATAAACCTTGTTAAACTTTTCATCTGCCTCCGTTTGTGTTCTGCATATTGGGCTTACTCTGTGACCAATCATGACAAAAGGTAGATTTGTGTCTCGAAAAATACAAATTGAATTTTCGCTGGGGGTACCCTTTTATGTACCCTGTTGTGCCCTCTGTAATGGGAACATTTCTGTACTATAGTTCAAGCTACATTTATGTCTTAAAGCATACCTTTAGCATACCTCAGACTGATCGATAAATTAAATATATATATACTTTTTTCTCTGCGGCCTGGTACCAAATGACCGACGGACCGGTACCGGTCCGTCGGTCGGGATGGGCAATAAATATACTATTTTACCGAAATACCATTTTATCATAATGGAAAACATCTCTTGTAAACAAAACCATTTTCAAAACCATCTAAATGACTCCAGTTAAAGACATCTTAGACATTTTTATTTTAAAGTGGTTATAATTTCACAAAAATCAAATACATCATAAAGAATTTAGTCAAGAAAAATTATTTTAGTGAGGATTAGGCACTGCATTAAAAGTGGGATTTTCGTCAATATGCGGCACTGTAGATTGTCGTGGAACTTCAGGTTAGCGGCAGTTTACGACAATTTGCAGGCTTCGCCGAAAACTCCCGTAAATTGTCAGAAATTGACGTGGACTCTCTTAGGCAGTGTTCCCCCCATGCCTCCCCCCCATGGAATTCTAGGGGAGGCTTTAACATGTAAATGAACATGCTGTGAGCTATACAAATGCAAACCAGGGTTGCAGGGGGGGTTTTACCCCAAGTGACATCTTTCTGGGTAAGAAATTCTCTGATACAAAGAGATCAGGCTCAGTATAGCCTCTTACATTTTAGCTTGAATTGATTTATTTAATTAAAGTATAGAGACCAAAACAGATCCTTAGCTGACAGAGCAATACATTTAGAGCAGTAATTATAAAAAAAAAATTGCATTTAAGATAAAAAATAAAATGTTGTCTGTCAATATGCTCAATTCACAATTACTTAAGTGGAAAAGTTTCAAGAAATGAGTCTGAGATTATTTACTTTATAACATGGCGCATTATCCTGTTGGAAGTAGCCATGAGAAGATTGGTACACTGTGGTCATAAGGTCCGGCCAGGTCAAGATCCGCAATTGCAATCGCACCAAACAGGAAAAAGAACATCGACAAATTCCGGTTCGTCAAATTAAAATATAGCAGCAACAGATCGGTGACTAGAAATTATAGCACAATTCTTATATATATATATATATATATATATATATATATATATATATATATATATATATATATATATATATATATATATATATATATATATATAAAAAACTAACACCGTTTATTTAAATGATTGGATCCAAACTATTGGTTATACACCAACGAGGAAGCAGATTTCTCATCTCCATCAAAATATTTATTTTATTCCGAGGGACTTAAACTTTAATCAAATCCATTCAAAAGAAACTTCTTATTACAGGAATGAAAAGAGATGCTGAGTTTGGAAGTAGTGAACAAGTTCATTCAAAAAAAAGCAGTTTTGAATTATCCTTATCCCCGTTACAAAAATCTACATATATATTTGGGCAGAAACTGAACATATGCTGGATGATGGTGGGATTTTTTTAATATGTCATATTAAATTAAGCACTCACAGGGTTCATACAGGAATGAGTGACTCTAATTTAATGCTATTTTAATGCTATTTGAAATGATTTTAATGCCATCATCAAGAACCATGTACACAAGTTATTAGTGTACATGAAATATGAAGGAGCTGCAAGCACAGTTCCATGACTCCTGTATGTATGTAAACACACACACACATATATACATATATATATATCCTCTAGCTTTTTCTCCGCCTGGAGCGATATAATATATCTGACGAAATTGTTTTTATAAGCATTTTTTATTAAAGAATTATAAATACTTCGATAAACATATTTAAATAATTTTAGTGCCAATTAAGGCCTTGATTAAAAAAAAAAAAAAGAATAATTTTTTAATTATTTTTATTGATCCACGGACACCCTGGTTCATCTCGCGCATGCTCCCTACGATCTCCAAGAAACTCAGAACGGCGGTGTGCAGCCACAGTGGAGGATGTATGCTTTGCTTTGTGCAGCGGTCTGGAGCTTCTGGATTTCGGGGTAAAACTCCTCTTGGACGCGATGGCGACTCTGCATCGAACAAGACGAACTCAAAGAAGAGATGCTAGCGGTAAATATATGTTCGATTACTGCCTGCTAAGCTAAAAGCAGCCTAGCCTAAGCTACCTACTTGTTCTGCCTTGCTAGAACAAGCTTTATTAAAGTGTTTTTTGTGATTTACAGGAAGCAGTACGCCGTCTTCACAACTCGGAGACTAATTGCAGGCGCTATGAACCGGAGCAAGGGTAAGATTTAAAGAATATGCTTTCATTCTGCGGTAAAAGGCAATGGATACGGATGGATACCGATCATAGCTTTTACATTTTGTTTTCACAGACCTCCCATCTCGGCAAGTCCAGATTTGCACAAAGACGACATTGTGTGTAAGTGACTTGTTTTAATGTTTTCTCCTTCCTTGTTACTGTGACTTGCGTTTGATTTTTTATTTATACCACTCTCATTTAATTGTTTTCCAGCTGCCTGTAAGACGTATTTTCAGACGGTACGCAGGAGCTTCAGATATACGCAGCCAGCCACACGCTGCGTGCGGAGGCTATCTGCTCGGAGTCGGGCCAGAAGAAAGAGGGTAAGACTTTATTTTGTGACTATTTTTCAGGTGCATTAATAGATGTGTTGTGTCCATACGCAGTGCGCTGATTCATTGTTTTTTTTTTCAGCTGCTGAAAGCGAGGCAGAGTGTGCTAGCAGATGAGGAAGTGGAACTCTGGAAGTCCGCCTTCCTCGGCGGTGTCTCTGGATGGATTGTACGGTCGCCGCCATTTCGTAGGCCGGATCTCACTGAACTCTGTGTTAAGCTGCAGTCCCGGTTAGAAGCGATGCCGAAGTACAGGGCCACGCACACTAGGCGTCTGCACATCGGACCTGCCTCGGAGGGAATGCTGCCAGTTACCTCCAACCCCGAGGAAGCAAACGGACCGTTCACGGAGTTTTAATTTTTAGAAACGCATGTGTTTGGATACGCGTTGTATATAGTTGTGTTTCAATAAAGCTCTTTCTTTGCATAAACAGCTTCCTGGCAAATCTTCATTTCCTGTATAAATTCATTCATGTCCTTGATGGTAGCATAATAATTGTGTAGTAGTGTAGGATAACATAAATACACACCATATGAATGAATAAATATATGAATGAATAAATATATGAATGAATAAATATATATATATATATGAATAAATATATATATGTAAATTTATATGTAAATATATATATATGCCAACCAATCACGAGCGACTTTACTTGTTTAAAAAGAAGTGGTTCCGTCCAATACTCAGTAAGAAAATTAAAGCCTGGCGTGGCCACGTGTGGTTTTGCTGCCAATCACGAGCGATTTTACTTGTTTGAGAATAGTGGTTTCAGCCAATACTGAGAAGGTTATTCAAGCCAGACTTGGCCAGCCGCGCAGGTTTGCTGTATTCATATGCTAATTAGGGCCATTGGTACAGCTGATCGCTCTCCACATACGTCACGGTACGTTTCCGACAATTTGTGGCACGACAAACGCGGACAAGCACGGGTTGCAAATTGTCGGAAACTGACGAAAATCAGGCAGATCTGCGGGAGTTTACGGGGGTTTACAGGGACGAAAATCTCACTTTTCATGCAGTGGCATGGTTGGGTTGACAATCATCCTTTAGAGCAAAACATCACAAGGTAACGTAACATTTTCACAATTTGATAAAACATATTAGGGAACTTGAGTGTTACCATAAAGGAGATTCAGCATATATTTCACTCAATGCCAGATTTATGATTGTGTTTCACTTGCGTTTCTGGACCTACAGACGACTTTTGCATTGTGGACAGATTTGATGCTCCTCCTTGCAAGAGTCCACACAGAAAGGGATTAAACAGAAGGGCCAGCACCTAGTGTGGAAGATATGATAAAAAGAGACAAAACAATAATGATGTTGATTATAATGCCTATTAAGGCTGGTGAGAGGGTGGGGTTGGTGCATGAAAATAGTTTTTCTATCACTGCTGCATTTTATTAAAGAAATATGATGACTAACCTTTTTTGAAGCACAGTTAAAGAGCGAGACCCTTAATTAATTATTTGTCTACAACTTGATTCATGAAAAAACTAAGCCTAAATCTAACCCTCTGTGTATTATTTACATGAATATAGAAAAAAAGGTGTAGCTTGAGAGTAAATACCCAGGAAAATAGTTTATTTCTAAATATGAGAAGTAGTGAGTTTTTATTAATTGTATAACAATGATTTAGAGACCAAAAACTGTAAAAGGTTTATTTGTTGAATAATTCAATATAAAAAAATGTGGAGAAATATATTCAATGTCATTACTATTTAAATGGTTAAGAAAAATTTAAGATATACACACTGTTCCAGTAAACAACTTTGCAGTTTCACACCATACTGTGTGAGGTAATCAGTTGTGTCTCAACTGGATGAGTGGAATATGAACATGGACTGTACAAGAACGTTGATCACTAAAACCCCTGTGTTTTAGGGTGTAAGGTGATGTATTTTTCAGGACATTCCCAAGGAAGGAGACTCCTAGGACGCTCTGAGACCCCTTGGAGGTCCTCCATATAAAAGTGTTGTACATACATAATCATGTCAACATGTTAGCATGATTATGTAAATGGTAGTTCAATCTGAAAAACTCACACAGAGAGAAAAGATAATTAGAAGAATTTATTGATAAGAAAGTATAGTCTTTGGCGCTCAGACCTCGGCAGGAACATTCATGCTGAATTATGCTTTAACATGCATGAGTAGATGAATGTGAATAGGGATGTTCCCCCCGGGCCTGAAACTGGTGGTGGTTTAATCCGAGCTGGTTGACAAGGTGATCTGCTGGGCAGAATTGTGGGACTAGAAGACTGAGGGAGCTGACGCCGGGGCTTCACTCAGACTCGGGATATAGAGGTCCTGCTCGGTGATGCAGGCACCGTGAAGTGTCCATGATGAGCAAGCATGAAGCGACAGTGGAGAGGAAAAGCTCCCCTTTGGGAAGAAACCTCTGGCAGAACCAGGCTCAACATGGTGGTCTTCTGCCGGACCAATGCGATGAGGCGAGGGATGGTGACAACTGGGATTAATACTCTCTGATGAGGTTGAGGTGAAGTCGTGTCATGGAGGACGATTCAGCTGCGATGGCGGAGAAGGGGATGGAGGTGGGTGAATTGTCGTCTGAATCGAAATCCGACAGCGATTGCAGGATAGCGGCTGTGGTGAGATTTGAGGGAGTTTATAAAGTGGAAGCAGGACGCTGATTGGGCTTCGTGGTGGAGTAGTTCGAAGCTGATTGGCTCGCTTCAGAGACGGATCGGCTTCTGATTGATGGAGGTAAGTCAGAGTTTCTTCAATTGAACTTTCGCTAGAGCTTCATTTCAATCTGAAAAACTCACACAGAGAGAAAAGATAATTAGAAGAATTTATTGATAAGAAAGTATAGTCTTTGGTGCTCAGACCTCGGCAGGAACATTCATGCTGAATTATGCTTTAACATGCATGAGTAGATGAATGTGAATAGGGATGTTCCCCCAAAAAGCCGAGGTCGAGGCCGGAGAGTCCGTATGCTCGTAGGGCATACGCTAGGGACAGAATAAAGAATGCGTAATGAAATGCTGAGAAGGTTTGCGAACAACTTACCGAGCCAGGTTGTTGATGAGGATGGCGACCACGGTTGACGCCGAGAACTTACCGATGATGATTTACCCATGATGATGATGATGATCCCATGATGATGATGATGATGATGATCCCATGATGATGATGATGATGATGATCCCATGATGATGATGATGATGATGATGATGATGATGATGATGGTGACGATGATGATCCCATGATGATGATGACGATGATGAACCCATGACGATGATGATGACGATGATGATGAATCCTGCGGATGATGATGATGAATCCTGCGGATGATGATGATGATGATGATGATGATGATGATGATGATGATGACGACGACGACGACGCATCCCATTATGATGATGATGAATCTTGCGGATGAGTCTGATAATGAATCTTGCGGATGAGTCTGATAATGAATCTTGCGGATGAGTCCATATAGAACATATAACATGACGGGATACAGACATGACGAGACGCAGACATGGTGCATATTGATGCATTGGAAATGCAAGCAAAATGGCGTAAGGGATGCATGACGAGACACGACGAGACACAGATAGGGAGCATGTGATGCATAGGGAATGAATCTTGCGGATGAGTCTGATAATGAATCTTGCGGATGAGTCTGATAATGAATCTTGCGGATGAGTCCATATAGAACATATAACATGACGGGATACAGACATGACAAGACGCAGACATGGTGCATATTGATGCATTGGAAATGCAAGCAAAATGGCGTAAGGGATGCATGACGAGACACGACGAGACACAGATAGGGAGCATGTGATGCATAGGGAATGAATCTTGCGGATGAGTCTGATAATGAATCTTGCGGATGAGTCTGATAATGAATCTTGCGGATGAGTCCATATAGAACATATAACATGACGGGATACAGACATGACGAGACGCAGACATGGTGCATATTGATGCATTGGAAATGCAAGCAAAATGGCGTAAGGGATGCATGACGAGACACGACGAGACACAGATAGGGAGCATGTGATGCATTAGGGAATGAATCTTGCGGATGAGTCTGATAATGAATCTTGCGGATGAGTCTGATAATGAATCTTGCAGATGAGTCTGATAATGAATCTTGCAGATTAGTCTGATAATGAATCTTGCGATGGTAACATATATGAAGAATTGATGCATTAGGGAATGCATGCTAAATGGTGTCAAGGATGCATGACGAGACACAGACCAGACGTGACGTGACACACAGGAGAATGCATATAAATGCCCGTCATAAAGGTGAGATTGCATGAATGCGAGCCAGAATGAAGATAGCATGAATAGCAAGGAGACAGCATGGAAGACTGCATGAAGCAGGGAATAATGAAGAAAACTGATAAGGAGTGGGAGTAGAAAATGAGTTAGAGGATGGTCGTGATTAGGTCAGAAAATTATGAAAATGAGTTGAACCACCACCAGTATTTGTAATAGAGTTACCTAGAGGCAGAGAGAGCACTGAGCTGAGAGAATTGGTGAGAGTTCTGGGCGGATGAATGAGGTATAGGCTGGTGAACCATCGGCCCAGAGCTGAGGGAAGCCTCAGAACCCCGCGAGTAGCTGCAATGCAGCTGCTCGGTCCAGAACGAATGCCCAGATTACCTACTAGAGGGAAGGCCACGTGATTCTAAGAGTATCCTGAGGTGGTGAAGGAACCATGAGTGGGCGGATAAAAGTGCTTGAATGCCTGAACATGACGCGCCGAGATGATGAAACGTTAGTGACTGCTACCAGTGATGCTTCTGATGAAGGCATGAGAGACTGGGAGGAGGAGTGACTTATTAGTGGCTTCAACTACTACGAAGTTATCGCAGTGGGCGGACGCGATTCCTTCCCAAGCCCCACGATGCAAGCTAGCTAGGGTTAGACCTCACACAAGCATAATGGGTGTGAATAAAAGAGGCCATGAACCCGTGAACCACCTGTCCTGAAGAACCCCCCGAAACCTACGGATGCAGCATCCGTAAAATTTTTGAAGCATGGCAGGAGATAGATAATGCCGACATAGAAAATAAATTTTGTTCCAATTTAGAAGCAGTCAGACCATAGGATCCGAACGGCAGCCTACGTTCAGTAATCTGACCAAGGAGAGGGACGGAAATTGCCGGATCAAGCAACTGGGAATGAAAGCGCGACCTTGAGAAATAAGCGCATGGCAAATTAGCTGACCTAGCAAGGAGCGCAATTGGCATTTAGAAATGACTGATGTAGAACATTAGTTTTGTTTATATATATATATATATATATTTTTTTTTTTTTTTTTTTTTTTTAAAGAAGAAGAAGACAGAACGATAATCAGAAGTAATAATAAGGGGTGGTAAGATGACGGGCTGCTAAGACTGAGGTACGATATATAAGCGTGCACGGCAGGGACAGGCAGGGACAGACTGATCGGATGGCCCTACTGCAGAAGCTCTGAGTAATCACGATAGATGCTGAATGCGGCCAAAAAAAAAAAAAAAAAAAAAATTTGGCCAATAGAAGATCTCTGGTAGACGGAGATCGGATGATTTAAGGAAAACTGTGACGTCACCTGCTGATGCGACCTGCTGATCGACTTCAGGGGAGGGAAGAATAAGAGACTAAAATATTCCCCTGAATAATTTAGAACGAGGCTAGTGAAAATATCAGCATGTGTGTTAATATAAGTATGCCTGATAGAGGCAGACGAAGCATAACAGCAAACTCAAATAGATAGAAAATTATGAATGAAAACATGGTTGAATACGTCTTACCCTAAGGCTGGCCCGGCGGGCGTTCCCTAATGTGAATGAGGGGAGGGGGAGGTCCGTCTGAGCAGACAGTGGCAGGGATGACGTGGCAGTGCAGGGATTCCCACGTTGGAGCGTGCGGACAGCGTCGAAGGATTGAGTGAGAGAGTCCGGTAGAGCGGAGGGAGGCTGAGAGCTGTTAAACGCCAGAAGGACTAGACGGGGGAGCTGCTATGAATCAGGAAGCTGAAGAGGTCCAAGGCTGCATCGAAACGATGAGAAGGAGCGGGCGTAGCGGTGACTGCTGCTGGGACAGATCCGGGAGGCCTTCTGCGCCTGGCGAGGGGAGCAGAGGACTTGCATGTCTTTTGCGGCCAGGAATCGGAGCGGATTGAAGCGGAAGGCGAGGGAGATGAATCACGAGGAGGTAGGAGGGAGGCTCGTTAAGACATCTGAGCAGAGTTTAGGTCGGAGCCTGGCAATATACCCTTGGAGTGTAACGCGGAAGAAGGAGATGAGGGCGGCTAGACGGGAGCTTCTCCGAGCGGGGAAAATTGAATTGTCGTCTGAATCGAAATCCGACAGCGATTGCAGGATAGCGGCTGTGGTGAGATTTGAGGGAGTTTATAAAGTGGAAGCAGGACGCTGATTGGGCTTCGTGGTGGAGTAGTTCGAAGCTGATTGGCTCGCTTCAGAGATGGATCGGCTTCTGATTGATGGAGGTAAGTCAGAGTTTCTTCAATTGAACTTTCGCTAGAGCTTCATTTTAATTTAAAATAGTTGAACATATTAAATCTATACTCTTGAGGATTGTCAGTACTGTTATAATTACATCAGATTACAATATATCTGAGTTAATCAAGTGAAATGTGTGATGTTATGAGCTGGAAAGCTCTTGAACTCCAATACCCAGCATGCAACAGGGCATGGCGTCACGGGTTGGAGGTCAGAGCGGGCTGCGGTTCGGGATGTAGCTTGCTACTGGATGGTTCTTTGAAGTTCTAAATAAATATACAGAACAAGCATACACGCCTCGTCTCTTATAGAAACGAAGAACAACACATGGTGTCAGAAGTGGCCGTTGGCAGTCGCGGAATGAAGATTTGCCACGGGGGAGCCACACGGCGTGTAGTGGCTGCAAGCAGTGGAAGTGAAGCAAGGGGACGAGGTACGGACTGAAAAAAAAAAAAAGGATCTAGTACCTGAATTGGAGGACAGCTACCGCAGAGAGAGGGTGGTGGAAGTCTCGATACCCCGACGTCATGGATAAGCTAAGTCCACCCACTGCAATGCAATTGACTGGTAATCTTGCTGATAACTGGAAACGTTTCAAGCAAAGATTTAACATATATCTAACAGCAAGCGGTGCAGGAGCTGATGATGAGAAGCTAAAAGCCAACATACTTTTGCATGTGATGGGAGAAGATGCTTTGGACATATATAACAGTTTCCAGCTGGACGAAGCTAATATCACGTTAGCACAGCTAATGGAAAAGTTTGAAGAATATTTTGTGCCTAAACAGAACGTGACCTTTGAGAGGTACAAGTTTTTCACTCATAACCAGAAACATGGACTTCCTTTTGATCAGTACTTAGCAGAGCTTCACACATTAAGTAAAACATGTGAATTTGGCAATCTGAGGGACTCGTTAGTGAGAGACAGGATTGTTTGTGGCACTGTGGATAATGCACTTAGAGAAAGACTGCTCAGAGAAACTGGACTAACATTAGATAAGTGTGTCACTATGTGTAGGGCAGCAGAAACTACACGAGCACAAGCAAAAGAGCTACGGAGAGATGAAACAACAGTGCATGCAGTGCATAAAGAGCAGATGAGAAAAAAGACATTTACCAAACAGAAAGAGAAATCTGCAGAATTTAAATGTGGTAAATGTGCAGGCACTCACAAACCAAAATCTTGTCCAGCATATGGAAAATCCTGTAACAACTGTGGGAAAAGCAATCATTATGCAAGATGTTGCAAAGCTGCCGCAAAGAAGAAGGTTCACGCAGTTGATGAAGAAGACGAGGATGATAGTGAGTTCATAGTGGATGTGGTACAAGCATGTGCAACAGAAAAAGAGGAATGGATAATGCCAATCAAAGTAAATGAGACAGTTATACCATTCAAGTTAGACACAGGTGCACATGTAAACCTGTTGTCATGGGAGGATTATAAAATTATGACTGTAAAAAGCAAAATTCATCCCATAAAAACAAAAGTGACAGGATACACTGTAGAACGCATACCTGTTAAAGGTGGGTGCATCGCAACCTTTCAACACAAAGGTCAGCAGATACAGGCGCAGCTGCTAATTGTGGATGCAAATGTGCAACCAATCCTAGGACTAAAGACATGTACAAAGCTCAATCTCGTCAAAAGAGTGTTTGTAGTGACGTCGCCAGGTACTGTGAATGACCATGACTCACTCATGGAGGAATATAAAGACTGTTTTGAGGGACTTGGATGTTTACCTGGAGAACATAAAATATGTGTGGATAAAAGCGTGTCTCCTGTTGTACATCCGTGCAGGAAGATCCCGTTTGCACTCCGGAACAAACTGAAAGAAGAACTGGTGCGCATGGAAAAACTGGGAGTCATCAAGAAAATAGATGAGCCAACTGAATGGGTAAGCTCGCTGGTCGTTGTGCAAAAGAAAACAGGTGCTTTGAGAACTTGCCTGGATCCAAGAGATTTAAACAAAGCAATCAAAAGAGAACATTTTAAGTTACCAACCAGAGAAGAAATCATGGCACAGTTTGCTGGAGCTAAATGGTTCAGTAAACTGGATGCTTCATCAGGTTTCTGGCAGCTAAGGCTAGATGAGGAGAGCTCAAGGCTGTGCACGTTCAACACACCTGAGGGCAGGTACAGGTTTCTTCGTCTGCCGTATGGTATCCTATCAGCACCTGAAGTCTACCATAAGACTATTCACATGATTTTTGAGCATATACCAGGGGTAGAAACAATGATGGATGACATCATAGTCTGGGGGTCTACTCGTGCAGAACATGACGAAAGGCTGAGACAAGTTCTTGACAAAACAAGAGAAGTGAATCTGAAGCTTAACAAAGACAAATGTGAGTTTGGAGTTAAAACGCTTACATTTATGGGAGACGTTGTCAGTGAAGAGGGAGTTAAGCCTGACCCAAGAAAAACATCAGCAATCAACAACATGGAAACACCAAAAAACAAAGATGAAGTCAGACGATTTCTAGGCATGGTTACCTATCTGGCTAAATTTGTCCCACAACTGTCAGCGCAGTCAGCACCTCTCAGAATTCTTCTTGAACAAAAGAATGAATGGGTCTGGTCCCATGAGCAGGAACAATGTTTTCTGAAGCTGAAAAAGATTTTGACACAGGAACCTGTGTTACAGTTCTACGACCCAGAGAGAAGCACTAGGATCTCGGCAGATGCGTCACAGTTTGGCCTTGGAGCTGTGCTGCTACAACAACATGATGGGCAGTGGCTTCCGGTCGCCTATGCATCTCGAGCCTTGACCAGTGCAGAATCCAGGTACGCACAGATAGAAAAAGAGCTGTTAGCAAGCTTATATGCCTGTGAGCGTTTCCACCAATATGTATATGGACAAGCTTTTGAAGTGGAAACTGACCACAAACCTTTGGTGTCCATCATGTCTAAGCCGCTGAACGACTGTCCGTTACGGATACAGCGAATGCTTATCAGGCTACATAAGTACGACGTGCACATGTTATACACGCAGGGTAAATACATGTACACCGCCGACACCTTGTCCAGGGCAGTGGATAAGGAGGAAAGTGCAGACAGCGAAAAGAGTGCAGAGATTCAAGCATACGTGGACATGGTCGTGTCGTCGTTGCCAATAACGGGTGACAGAACAGAGCAAATACGGAGAGAGACTAGTGCAGATGAAGTACTGAAAGAACTCAAGATTACAATTCAGACAGGATGGCCAGAAAACAGAAAGGATTGCCCCATAACAGTACAAGACTACTGGAACTGCAGAGCAGAGCTCACTGTGGTGGACGACATAGTGATGAAGGGGAGCAAATTCGTAATTCCATCCTCTCTACGGAAGCAAATGCTCCAAAAGATACACGAAGGTCATCTGGGAGAGGTCAAGTGTAAACGTCGGGCAAGAGAAGTAATGTATTGGTTGAGAATCAACCATGATATCAGCCAGACAACAGCATCATGTGATCTTTGCCGCATACACAGGCCAAAACAACAAGCAGAGCCGTTGATGACTCATCCGGTGCCCCACAGACCTTACTACAAGGTGGGTACTGACCTGTTTGACTGTGATGGAAAAAGTTACATCCTGGTCACTGACTACTTTTCCAACTACCCAGAAGTCGGAGCGCTGCAGTCAACGTCAAGCAAGGCAGTTATCAGCTTCCTAAAGACTGTCTTTGCCAGACACGGCATTCCATGTGAACTTTTTTCAGACAATGGGCCCCAATTTACCAGCTGTGAGTTTGAGGCCTTTGCTGAAGAATGGGGTTTTCAGCACAAAACATCGAGTCCAAACTACCCAAGGTCTAATGGCTTGGCTGAGGGTTCAGTGAAATTAATAAAAAACATGATGAAAAAAGCACAGGACAGAGACGACTTTCAAAAAAGCCTGCTGATCTACAGAAGTGCACCTCTTCAGAACGGACTATCACCAGCACAAATGCTGATGGGTCGACGCATTCGTTCCAACCTTCCGGTGAATGAAGACCTGCTGACACCCAAAGGTGCGCACAAAGTTACACAGCTGAAGGAGGAACAAAAAGCAAAACAAAAAAAGCTGCATGATCGGATGGCAAAACATCTTCCAATACTGAAGCTTGGAGATACGGTGCGTCTCAGGGACATCTCTACCGGCACCTGGAGAAAAAAAGGGCGGGTGGAGGAGGAAGTTGCACCACGCTCCTTCAGGATTCAAGTGGAGAATGGAACGTCTCTAAGGAGGAATCGCACAGATCTTCAACTACAGACGACTGGAACTGACATGGCAGCTCAGGAGATGGACCAGCAGGACCCAGCAGAATCAGGAGGGTTGGTTAGCAGTGGACTGACGGCAGCATCTGCATCACCTGCGGATGTGACACCTTCCCATGTGTCTACATCAGCAACTCCTGAAAGGCTGGCTAGGCCTAAGAGACAGATTCACCCTCCTAAGAGGTTAATTGAGAGTTGCTGAGGGCTTGCTTTGGTAGTGCAACTTACTTTAAAGACTTTATGTTTGTGTCATATTTGCAGGAAAAGGAACAGCTGAAATGTTGGAATGATAGAAGTTAATGTTGATACTGTTTCAAGTTAGTGTTTGGATGCATAGAGGCACTTGATAACGTTTGTAAAAAAAAAAAAAAAAAAAAAAAAAAAAAAAAAATGGTTTAAAGTGAAAAGTTGTTTACAGAAAATAGTTTTTTCTTATAGGTTAAATATTATTTCTTATAGGAGAAGGGATGTGATGTTATGAGCTGGAAAGCTCTTGAACTCCAATACCCAGCATGCAACAGGGCATGGCGTCACGGGTTGGAGGTCAGAGCGGGCTGCGGTTCGGGATGTAGCTTGCTACTGGATGGTTCTGTGAAGTTCTAAATAAATATACAGAACAAGCATACACGCCTCGTCTCTTATAGAAACGAAGAACAACACAAAATGTCTCTGAACTTTAGTTTACTACTAATAAGTTCAGGTCTAGGAGGGAATAAAGGTCATGCTTTATGCTTGTACATTGTATAGGCTGGGGAAAGAAAGAAAATTGACAAAAGTTGGACATTAATTTACAGAATCTTGTTGACACAATATTTCTTTGCTTTAAGATGTAGACTACCGGACCTAAAAAGTCCAATGTTAAGCATAAGGATCTGTGATTCAATCAAAATATCATTCAAATGGTCAAGATAAATTAAAAGTTTTAGGACATAACTTAGCATCTGAGGTAATCGTCGATAAAATGGATCTGAACAACTTTGAGTTTACTATTCAACTAAATTAAGAAGCCTCCAAGGGTTGAGACATTCTGGCTAGCTCCAGGCGGATGTGTACAGCACAAACAGCAAGCTTACAACACACTAAATAAAGGAAGTAGAAAACACAGCTGTTTACAACTTTTTCAAAGTCTCTAATGGTATGTTCACACAGTAAGCGGTGAAGGTGGTAATTTCCGCGAGCCATGCGGGTAATTCACCATGGGAAATAGGAAAAGCTTCAGCTGCATGAACCTGAAAGCCCACCGACATAAAAAAAAAAACAGCAAATAGACAGAATGGTTATTGCTTCTTAAGTGCATATTTTTGCATTTTAAATGGCAATTTGTAAAAATAAAAAAATGAAAACACGTGCTGCTGTCTTTTCAGAGATATTAAAGATAAATTATTTAGGTTACCAAGAGGTCAACTATCCACATGGTGACCAGAAGTCCTAGATTTCCAAGAAGGGGGGAACATGTTGCATGTAGACCGTTATCACGGCAAAAAAGCACGTGAGCATGTTACGGGCAAAAAGCAACTATTATGGTAGCATTTTGTGCTGCTCTTAACCTAAAGACAATTAAAAGAGCACACCAGTTTTTAAACAGGTGAAGAAGTAAAAGCAGAAATTTGTTATCACATCCCGACAAAACTGATGGGGAGCTCACCTGAGTTATGGTGAGTGTGTTAATCGATTTGTTTTATTTGGATTGAGTTGATCCTGTCATAAATGTTCGCTTCATTTCCAGTTTAAAGAGTATTTTATAAAAAAAGAAAGACAAGACTAAGGTTTACTGCTGGTATGAGAAAAAGAGACTCGGATTGAAAACTACTTGTAAGGCGCTAATCTGGTTCAGTGGTTCTCCAGGATTCAAACAAGTGTTCATCTAAAGATGTTTTAGAACTGATTGGTGACATTTAGTTTTATTATTTATCATTTAAGAAAGTTACAGTAGTTATTATAAGTTGTTGTTTTTATTTATGGCTGTGATTTATGAACATAAGTGTGCTTTTCTAGCACTCAGTTTGGATATAAGAGCATTCCTCATGAAAAATTACGTCTCTAATTAAGTCAGTTACAGTAAAACTCAGACACGATCTGCATGATATGAAAAAGCTTGATTAGAGATAAATACCTAGCCAATGCTCGTTTATTATGCTGTTTTTGCTTCTAGCTCCAAATATTATAGAAAATAAATATTAATTAGCATTTTTAGTAGTTAATCTGATGAGATAATAATAATGTTGTACATTCTAATGTTTTGGAAGTGATTTTGATGTCTCTGTTTTAGAATAGTGTAAGGAGGAAAGATGAGGAGAGCGGAGGAAAACTGGAACACTGGTGCACTGCAAAAAATTAAAATCTAAATAAGTCCTTTTTGATCAAATTTAGCGCATTTTTTCTTGAATTGAGGAGGTAAGTTCGACACTTTGCCAATGGAACGAGACAATTTACATTTAAAATAAGAAAAAAACTATAGTTTTGTCTTAATTCAAGCATATATTAGCTAACTATCTTATTTTAGGAGTAAAAATACTAATTCCATTGGCAGGTCATCTTATTTACCTGCTCAAATTAAGGGTAAATACACTTAATTTAAGACATTTTTCACTAATTTCTAGATGTTTTTTGCAGTGTGGGAACAACAGTTGAAGAGACGGAAGTAATATCTATATAGAAGAGTATAACAGAAAGCAGACAGAAGTCAGAAGAGGGCTAGACAGAAAAGAATGCAGACAGGGAGGAAGACAGAAAATACTGAATGGACCAAATATTTGTATTTAGTTTTTTGTTTTTTCTTTTCCTCATGTCACTCTCCCCTTAGGGGGAGGCGAAGCTCTTTAGGCTTCAAAAATTGGAAAGCCCTGCTAACCACCCATGACTCCTTCACTCTCACTCCCAACCCAGAGACACAGTTCTAGTTTTCCATAAAAAACACTAACGATTTATTCATTTTATCAATCTTGAGAAAATACTACCAGTGATAAGAGACATATCCCTGGCTTTTAATCTTGATTTTTGTTGTTTAAACATTAATACACTTGTGAAAATAAATTAAACCATTACTGTGCCCGTTTCCTAATTTCATTTTGATGAAATGTGCTTTTTTTTATCTATGAGCTGGAAATGTCCCTAGATTTGCTTTTAGAAATCTGGTCACCTTAACATTCCCTCCGACAACCTCTGAATCAAAATTTTATCAAAATTATCTAGCCTACCTTTTCAGTTCTACTTCATTTGTGCAGGTGAAAGTAGTGTTTGTGCTGATTTGGTTTTTAAGATGGGCTGAAATAATTGTGTAACATTTAGTAAATCACCAGCCTCCCATACCCTCTGCTTTCTACCTGCCCTTACCCCTGGCAACCCCATCTTACTTTCCCGTCATATCACAATAAAAGCACAGGTGAAACCTAAAAGCACGTGGAGAAAGCGGCGAAGATGAGAAGTTGATTGAGGTACTGTAACGTGTTTAGCACGGGGGACCACTGGACATCTCTCAGTAATAACTATCTCTGCGTCACTGTACAACTCAGGAGACTTTCTAAACACAGATATTAGTATTATCCTAAAACACTGTTTCCCTAAAGTTTGGCCCTAAAAGTTGGTCTGGCTGAGCGGCTGGTGGAAAGAGGAGAAATATAGCTTGTGCTGACTAACACAAAGCTACTGACTGTAAACTGTTCTTCAGAGTATGGGCTGGAAATCCCAAGGTCAAAGTGGGAAACATCCCCAAAGAGGGTAAAGAATGACCGAGCCAAACTCCTGTGGGACTTCCAGATACAGACGGACCGAGGTGATGGCAAACCTACCGGACATTGTGGTGGTGGACATAAAGCAGAGGAAAGCTGTTGTGGTTGACATAGCAATACCAAGTTACTGCAACATCAGGAAAAAGGAACATGAGACACTAGAGAAATACCAGAGGCTCAGAGAAGAGCTTGAGAAAACATGGAAGGTCAAGGCATCTGTTGTACCCGTGGTCATTGGGGCACTCGGGGCAGTGACCCCCAAACTGGAGGAATGGTTATAGCAGATCCCTGGAAATACATCAGACATCTCGGTCCAGAAGAGTGCGGTTCTAGGAACAGCAAAGATACCGGGAAGAACCATCAAGCTCCTAGGCCTCTGGTAGAGGACCCGATCTTGGAGGAAAAAAAGGGGGGAGACCACCTGCGGTGGTATATATTCATTTATTTATTACGTCCTATGACCATGGATGAAGAGTGCTGAACATTGTGTTTCTTTTCATACTTGTCAACTAGCAGTGCAAGCTCCAAGAACCTGCAGTGGAGGGCTGCAGGTCTATGCTTTGACTACATACTACAAAACATTACATAATGTCTCTTTAACTTTTCAACACAATAACTGACCAAAAAGCACTCAAAACTCCCCTTAAAGCCCCTATCCATCTATCTACCAACTCCATCCCACAATAAACTAACCTAACTTAACCTGAAGCTGAGGAATATTTAGGTTTTTAAACATGATCCTGTTTTAACATTTTTAATATAATAATATTAATTGTGTAATTATAATAATTCCAGTATTCATTATCTCATGTCCAAGTTCATGTGGAGTTTTACTTCTAATGTTTAAAAGTGTAAAAGAACCTTTGAGGCAGAGAATCAGTAATTCTTTTATACTTAAGTGAGCCCACCACCTGACAAAATTTTAAGTTGAGTTTTTACTTACCCTATCAAGAACAGCACTATGGCAATCGTCCAGGTCCGGCAGCCTGTTTTGCGTTCGACTGAGGTCATGACGTTTTTCTTGCAACGTGGACATTTCCTCATCACCTTTGAGCTTCCTGTCAGTCACAATTTATTAATGACACACCACCCATGCTGGGACTCTAGCGACTTTTTCAAAATTCTAAATCATTTTCAGTAAGTAAATTGACAGAGTAACTCACCTGTCTGAATCTTGACTTTTATTTTATTTCCTTGTTGAATGAGACATAAAGAAAGCATGTAAGTTTTTAATAAAGTGAGTCAAGCATAAATTGGTCAAAAATTTTAACCACATTTATAAAGCACAACAACTTGAGGAAAGCCCTGACATGATATAAAGATACAGGTTGCTTTGGACATTGCTGTTAAGAAGGTTGTTTACTGATCAGCAACAGGCTCAGGATATTGCTGCTGAGGATACTGCCGATCAACAGGCTGGTGATGCAGCTAAAGAATAAACTAGGTTACTGGCTGGTTTTAAAACTCAAGCTCACCATCACCATCAGGTGGATCACTATCCTCAATCTGACCGGAAGCAGAATCTGTGAAGGAAATAAAAACAAAACAGTATAACAGAGCAATAAAGTCTGTCATTAAGGAAGCAGAATTGTGTCAACCTGACACCTTGCTTACCAAGTATTGGTAACAAGAGGCCTTAAGTGCAGCATAAAAGAATGCTTTTATAGTAATATACTGTATGTCTTCTTACCGACACTGCATTAATTTGGCCTGATCTTCAAAGATTTTCAGAGTAATGTGTGTAAAATGTGTGTAATCTGTGGACATGTTGGGGTGACCTTGCGACATTGCTTGTGCAATTGATAAGATATACAAATCTCAGTTAATAAGATGTACAAACCACTGTTTAATTGCATATTTAATTGCTTCCCACTGCATTAATTTCTACCTGCTTG